ACCGAGGTCGGGGACGCCGAGGCCACCGGGCGCCTGGTCCAGGCGCTGGCCGCCCTGCAGGAGGGACTCTAGGGATGGTGCCGTCCCCAGGACCCTCTTGGAGACGCCTACATGGCCCTGGGGATGGCCCCTCTCCGTCCTGGGGACGCTGGGGATGTCTGGGTGTCCCCTGTCCACCCTGGGGACACCCGGACGGCCCTTGTGTTCTGGGGACACCAAGGACACTGGAGGTGTCCCTGTCCATCCTGAGGACACCGGGGACATCTGGGTGTCCCCTGTCCACCCTGGAGACATCCAGATGGCCCTTGTCATCCTGGGGACACTGGGGCATTTAGATGTCACATCTCCATCCTGGGGACACCGAGGACACCAGAGATGTCCTCTCTCCACCCTGAGGACACCTAGATGGCCCTTGTGTCCTGGGATGTCCCCTGTCCATCCTGGAGACCTTGAGGCCACGGTGGCTGTCCCCTCCATCCCCACACCAGGGACACACTGGGGACACACTGGGGATATGCTGGGGACATGCTGGGGACACACTGGGAACACATTGGGGATGCGCCAGGGACATGCCAAGAACATGTCAAGAACCCACAAGGAACCTGCCAGAATCCCACCAGGATCCCACCAGGATCCCACCAGGAACCCCTCAGGATCCCTCCAGGATCCCACCAGGATCCCACCAGGAACCCCTCAGGATCCCTCCAGGATCCCTCCAGGATCCCACCAGGATCCCACCAGGAACCTGCCAGAATCCCACCAGGATCCCACCAGGATCCCACCAGGTTCCCACCAGGAACCCCTCAGGATCCCTCCAGGATCCCACCAGGATCCCACCAGGAACCCCTCAGGATCCCTCCAGGATCCCACCAGGATCCCCCCAGGAACCTGCCAGGATCCCACCAGGATCCCACCAGGATCCCACCAGGAACTCCTCAGGATCCCACCAGGTTCCCACCAGGATCCCACCAGGAACCTGCCAGAATCCCACCAGGATCCCACCAGGATCCCACCAGGATCCCACCAGGATCCCACCAGGATCCCACCAGGATCCCACCAGGATCCCACCAGGATCCCACCAGGATCCCACCAGGATCCCACCAGGATCCCACCAGGATCCCACCAGGATCCCACCAGGATCCCACCAGGATCCCACCAGGATCCCACCAGGATCCCACCAGGATCCCACCAGGATCCCACCAGGATCCCACCAGGATCCCACCAGGATCCCACCAGGAACCCCTCAGGATCCCTCCAGGATCCCACCAGGATCCCACCAGGAACCTGCCAGAATCCCACCAGGATCCCACCAGGATCCCACCAGGAACCTGCCAGAATCCCACCAGGATCCCACCAGGATCCCACCAGGAACCTGCCAGAATCCCACCAGGATCCCACCAGGATCCCACCAGGAACCTGCCAGAATCCCACCAGGATCCCACCAGGATCCCACCAGGAACCTGCCAGAATCCCACCAGGATCCCACCAGGATCCCACCAGGAACCTGCCAGAATCCCACCAGGATCCCACCAGGATCCCACCAGGA